TTAAGGTCCTTTCCAACCCAAACCATTCTGCCAGTCTATGACTCCAAGCAGCAGCCAGCATTGAAAAGGAGATGGTACCTGTGGTCATGAAACCCAGAGCAGGAGGCCACCAGAATTAGACACAAACAGATTCTGGGCAGAATTAGAGTGTTCTTCTGTAGGGGCGGCCAGACATCACACCCAAGGTACAGTATGTCACATAGGATCCACAGGGTAGGGTACGAAGCAGTTGTATCAACCACCTCAGATTGATACCCAAATAACCCTTTTAAATATAAGGGGGTTTAGAAAACTAGTCCAACATCAGCACTCACTAAGAAATGTTGTTGCTGTCCCGGTACCAGAAATCACAGCACAGAGTAGCCTCAGGTGGCACCTGCACAGGACCAGGTGAGGGGCAGAGATTCCTGCAGAACTACCTGTTCAGCAGCAAATTTCAGTTCAAGAGAATGATGCAGCTGAGAAAAACTAGGATTTTTTTGAGCTGAAGGGTTCACTGAGCTGGCCACAGCAGAGTGTTTAAAAGGAACAAGCCAGAAGACAAACTGCAAACACCAGAGGAGACTCAAAATAGATATGAACAAGTTCCCCCAAACAAGCCTGGTTAGTAACAACCCTGTATTCAAACACAAAACTACTCCCTGTACAGAGGGTAAAAAGGACAAGAGTTGTGAACCCCATGAACTGGGATCTCCACCCCACAGAACCAAGTGCTTCAGAGTGACTTTCCCCCTCCTGCTGGACACTGGGAGAGACAGAGTCCAAGCTTGCTCCTCCCTGAGAAAGGCCACTAGAGAGGGCATGCTCTCCCTTCACAGGACACAGTGTGGAGGGAATGAGAAGTTCCATTCCTGATTCTCAGCATGATTTCCTGAACCAAGAAACCAGGTGGAGAGAAGCACAGAAGACACCTCAGTAGGATGTGATACTGACTCTTTGAAAAGGAGATCTGGAGGCACTGCTGCTGCTTGGGCTTGTACAGAACCAGAAGGGAGGGAATTTCCCATCGTTTGCACTGAATGGGGCAACAGGAGGAACGGCTGTTGCCAATCCTGTTACAGCAGAACAGATTACTGCAGACTAGCCCCAAAAGTCTGGCTACCTGCCTCTTCCTTAGGTGGAGATTCGGGATTTTATAGCTTCAGACTGCATTCACTCAGTTAATTCTAAAACCCCAAGTGTACAAAGCTCCCATCTGAGTGTTTTGTCTGCTATGAGCCCACCCCCCCCAGAGATGCAGATTGCCCAGAACAGGCCAATAGCAACATCCATTTTAGAAAACGATCACAAAAAAGATTGCTCTCTACAACACATGCTCTCCCCAACACTGGTACAGGGCGAGATCCCACGGATAAAACTCGATCCAGTCAGGTCTTTGGCTCTGGTTCCTGACACAGTTCCCTGTACATGTCGCAGGTGATTTTTCTTCCTGCTCCTTGCTCTTCTTCTCCCCAGGAGGAAAGGACCACCAAAGGGTAACCTTCTGGGCACAGAAACGGAGGTGCAGGAGCTGCCTACACACCAGTCTCACTTCTTTCACCACTTTTGATGTTAGGATCTTCTTGTACCTTTCTCATCTCCAGGCCTTTCACCCATGTGTAGGCAAAGGAGCCCCCCAGAACCATCAAGTTACTCGTCCACCACAAGAAGCTCTTTGTTTCTTCAAAGTAGATAACAGCCAGCACTGTTTGGGCACAGGCCTTGGCTGTTCCAGACACGTTGTGGGTGAGCGGGCTAGTGAACTTAATCTGAAGTCCGGTCACATAACCAATGGCAAAGCCAAACACTCCCCCCAGGATCATCATCCCCCAAAAACTGGGGCTCCCCAGCTTGTCGAAGTGGTAGAGGGTGCGGAACTCTCCCAGAAGCAACATGAGGGGGAAGAACAGGACACAAGCGTTGACATTGTTGTAGAAGGTCAGGCGCCAGATGCTACCATCCACCACAGGCAGCACCTTCTTGGTGTAGATGGCATTGAGTGAGACACACAGGCTTGCCAAGATCCCAAAGAATATACCTGTCCATGACAGAGTGCCCTCTGCTCCTTCCTGGTCAACACCCAGCCAGAAACCACCTGCAACCAAAAAACATGAACAATCAGGCACCATCTGAACAACTGCTGAAGGACTCAAAACAGTCAGCAATACATCACCTGCCTTACACCAAACAACCACAAGCAGAGACAGGCTTAAGGGTTTCCCCTTTCTATTAAGTGAACCCACAAAGTGTCATAACTACTGTCCTGGGAAGATTTATTTTGGGAGTGTGATTTATTTTGGGTAATTTACTGTGCTATCATTCAATCTCAGAGGACTGATTCCCACACTGAGCAGGCAGCATGAATTTAGAAGCTATTATTCCAAAGAGCCAGGAATTAAAGCTACTCTTGGGCTATAGGTAACTTTTAGGAGATATTTTTTAATTGAAAAGGCAGCAAACTGACACACAGCAAAAAACCAGTCCTTAAGGTTTAAAAAAAAAAAAAAAAAAGAAAAGAAAAAAAAGAAAAAAAGGCCTCACAGGCTTTGCTGTGCTGTGAACGGGAAGGAAAAGATAGGTCAGAAAAGAAGATGGAAAGATAGTAAACACATAGATGTAATATTAAGAAGCTCGATAAAAAGAAAGATCACCAGGGAGAAACTGAGTGCAGTGTCTTCAACACATTAAACTTTGATGGGTAATGCACTCTTCAACCACCTCCAGACAGGTGCTACAGGCTTTGCATCCTCAGGGCAGAGAAGGAGACCTCTCCCCATCCAGATCATAAGCAAAACATAAAAAGGGAGATGAGCTACTGCAGCCCTGCGCTGCCTTTCCATTAGCTGCTTCATGTTGGAGGCCATCTGGGAAGTCGCCTGCAAAGAGGCTAATGTGCTTTAAACTAAGCCCAAATACAAATGGGTTCAATGCACAGACAAGAAGGGCTTTGTGTCAGGCCACAGAGGATGCTTGGCTGCACTGCCACAGGCATACAGGCGATGCTCTCACAGCAAAAGATGGAGCCAGGGGCCAAAGTCTTGGAGAAACCCCATAAGGCTGGCAGACACCATAGTCCTGGGCAATACCTGAACACAAAACTAGCTGGAAACAACTGCTGGCATCACTTGGGTGGAAAAAACAGTGTTTCTGTTGCTGTTCACCTCATCTACGGAGAGGAGGTTCTCTTGTCTCATTTCCATCCAAATCCATCTGCTTGTCTAACCAAAGTGAACACATGTCCACCTGGACTGAAGTCAACATCTCACCACTCTTGGCATCTAAATGAGCCTCCAGTGGAAAGCAGCTTTTGGCATTACCGATGCCTTTGGAATTAAAGACTTGTAAGCAGTTCCCGTTAAGCCAGTCAATGCCCCACCCAACACCCTAACCACACAACCAGATCTTCTGGTGGTATTTTACGCTTGCCTTGATCGGCTAATCTTTATCACAATGCATTCAGCCTTCCTCAATGGGGTGGCTCCATTGTATTGTCCTGGTGGCACCCACATGTATATGGTGACTGTTACAGAAGTTAAACAAGCACTTGAGAACAGGGAGAAATCCACCTGCTGCTTTATGGCCTTTGGGGAGGAGTGGGGAAGGGAAGGCAAGCTAAACTTCATTAGAGAGCAGACAGGTTTGAGTGCTCAAAGGAAAACGGGAGCCATGGTCAAAAGAAGAGTAATTCCTCTTCTTAATGAATTACCTAGACGTTCCTGACATGCGAATTGGGTCATCAGAGGCAAACCAAGGCACAAGCCCTGAGCTACCCCACCTCAGGGAGCTGCCATGCAGGGCAGGACGGCTTCCAAAGGGGAAGACACCCCACCTCCATCTCTCCAAGTCTATGGGGCAGCCCCCTCCCGCTCCCCCTCACCTATGATGACTCCGCAGGCCAGGAGGGCGTAGAGGGATGTGGTCTGCTTGAGGAGCAGGTAGGAGAGCAGCACATTGAAGACGGTGGTGAGGGAGCGCCCCACGTTGTAGAAAGCCACACCGACATGCTTGAGGCAGAGGTTGTTGGAGGTGACCATGCCGATGAAGACGATGGAGAGGGGCAGCACGCTGCGGGACACCTTGGGGTCGAGGCGGAGGGTGGGCAGGCCCGGGCAGGG